CGGGTGGGTTTCAGCGCCCGGGCCCCTGGCCCCGCCGCGGGGCGCACGGAAAAACCGGAGAACCTGCGGGTTTTGTCCTGGCGAGCCACATCCTGGTGTGTTTTGGCGACTTGAAGACCTCCCTAGTTCGCGGGAGTAGCGGGAAGAGCCCTCCTCGCGTTAATTATGCAATAAGAAGGCGTCCTTGTACGGGATACTGTGACCCGCGGAATTATTGATACTTGTGCGAGCCTACGATTTACTTCTTTCATCCTTGGCTGAGAATTTGCCTTTGTAATTGTCGATGGAGAGAGGAAGAAAGGGTTCCGCTCGGGCCCAAGGAGCATGCTGAGGAGGGCAGGGAAGAAGGAGCATGTGCAGCCTCAGTGCGAGGGGAGGCAGGGGTGGGGATGCACGTTCCCTGCCTGACGGGCCTCGGGGTGCCCAGAGCCTCTGATCTTCGCTGTCAGGAGGCCTGTCCCAAGTTGGAGGTTGAGGCATGCAGTTCTGCACTTCTGGCTGGGAAGGTGAACCAGGTTTTCCAAAAACTGTCATTTTTGCTTTCCAAGTCTGCAAGGCAGGAAAGGGTTGGGCAGTGAATGGAAAGCAGTGCGGCCAGGTTCTGGTTAGCTCAGCGGCAGGACTGTCATAAAGGTTTTTTTTTTTTTTTTTTTTGGTCTGAAAACCGGAGTCTGGGGCTTTGGGCCATGAGGAGTTGGGTTATTGCATTGCTTGGAGTGCCAGAGTGAGACATGTCTCAGACGCTGTTAAAATTAGGCAGCTCAGTTTAGCTCTGGCTCTCTGATCACCAACCACCTCCTCCTTCACTCTTTTCAGTGACTGGGTTAAAAAGAAAAGACACAAAGGGAGAAGTGGTCTTTCCCCTTCCCTCCCCGTTATAATTAGAGCTTAGTCCATCTTGGCTCAGAATTGGAATTCAGAATTCAGAATTGCTCTTGACCCTGAAGAATAGAATCTCAAAGAAATACCTGAGCGGAAAATTCTTTCCTTCGCTGAAATGAAAATTGGGGTGTTTGCAAAACTGAACAAAGAAAGGAAAGAATTTGTAAACATCACAGGCAACTTGCAGTTATATTCGGATCATTTTTCAGTGTTTGAGGAGTTCATACAATAAAAAGGTGGGAGAGAGCCAGGAATGGAAACAGGGGAGAGAGGTGATTGCAGGACCTTAGAGACTGCAGAAACCCAGGAGTTCATTTTCTTTTCATACACGTCTGGATAACGTGGATGTGAGGACCATCAAATGCCGTACATGTTGTTTCTGACAATGATGGTCTACATATACAACAGTGGTCCCATAAGACTATACTACCTTATTGTTACTCTACCTTTTCCAATTTTAGATACACGAATACTTACCATTGTATTACAGATGCTTACAGCATTCAGTACAGTAACAGCAGTACAGGTTAGTAGCCCGGGAGCAATAGATGATTCCATATAACCTAGCTTTGTGATCAGCTGTGCGATCTAGGTTTGTGTAAGAACACTCTGATGTTTGCAGAAGAACATCGCCTACCGACCCGTGAACGTATCCCTATTGTTAAGTGATGAATGACTGTATATAAAGCTTGATCTTTCAATCGGCGTAATAGGAAATTGCTTTTAATTTTAGCATTGAGTTCTCAGAGTAAAGGGAGGCAGAGAGAGACCCTGCTGCATGTGTCCCAGTCAGCTTGGGCTTTGTTGTATGTTAAATGAGTTGTATGTTTATTTTTGGTAGATCACCTAAATCCGTGGTCTCTCTAATTCCATGAATTTGGCTTGTTTCTGGTTATTTATGATATGACATTTGGCTAGAATTTTCCAGGTGCTAAAGGTGTAAGGAGCACAAAAATCTAGAGAACATTTTGCATTGGAAGAATTGATCATCTTATATAGGAATCCTTTACCTAGTTCAAACATGTGAAACGGGCATAATTGGATTTGATTATTTTTGCTACAAAAAAATGTTTCATTTTTCAACCTGAGTTACATGGAAGAGTCTTTTAAACAGCTAGTGGTTTTGGTACATTTAGAATATTCATTTACCAAGAAATCCAAATATAGCCTGCCTTTGTAAGAGACCCATTCTGCCAAATATATTTGAATCATCAAAATGGTTAACTATTTCCTTCCTAAGTATAAACCAAGTTGTATTAAGTAATTTGATCTTGTAACTTTTAATGATGCTTTTTTTTTTTTTTTTTTTTTTTTTTAATTTTCCTATCCAGTGACAAGAGGAACCAAGAACCTCAGTTCAGGGGAAACACAGCAAGGAAATGTGAGCCCCAGGCTGCAGAAGGTACGCGAAGGAGAATGTGAGCTCATCAGTTATTTGAGCATGCTGTTCAGTATTGTTACTGCCTTTTTTCTTGCCTGTGCAGATTTTAAACTTTTGATTAGAAGTATGTAAATGTACGCTTAGAAACGTTTCCTTAAATGTAATAATAGGAGCGTGCTCTGAGTCTGGGATTATGTGAGTTAGTACCTGCTGAGACCTGTGCCTGGCACGGAGTGAACCCCATACAGGTGTTTACTGTATATTATTGTTCATGAAAACCTGTCTTAACTACAGGTATATTTCTCATTCGACAGTTAAGAATATGTTTTCATTCTCCTAAGGGTAGTTAATCGTTCCAAGGCGGTAAATTGTAAGGATGACAACAGAGAAGACAAAGGAAATTTCTGAACGCAGATTGAGAGAAATCTTTACTGTGAATTTGAAAGTTTCAGTGACATGCAATAGAACTTTATAGTATAAACTCATATGCCACACTTTGCATTATGAAGTTGTAATTTAATGATTCTAATGATAGGGTGATGCATTGTAATTCAGAACATGCTCAGGGTTGACGGTGAAATGTCCCCGTTTCTGCAGCCCTGGTCTGTCTAGTTCTCATCTCCCCTGTCATCCTCCTGGGGTTACCAGCTCCTTGTACATTACCAGGGTTTTTTTTCTGTGTGTGTGTGTGTGTGTGAAGTTCCTTTTAGAGTCTAGCTGTGTTTTAAAAGTTGAGCCCTGGATATGTGATCCCTGGTGTGTGTATGAGGTGAGGTTGTCAGTCAAGGGCCTCCTCATCTGACCCACGCCGTCCCTGCTTGCCCACTCTGCGTGAGGAACACTGGCCTTCTTGCCACTTTTGGAATTCTGGGACCCAGACCACAGTCTTTGCCCCGGGGTCTGCGTGGCTTGCTCCCACACTCTGTCCTGCCTTTTCTCAACATGTCCTGCCCATGCCCTTGTTTATTAGCCACTACACCTGCCACCTGGCTTGATCATATACATGGATCACTTGATTTGTCTATGGCCCATCTATGTCTGTTAGAAGGAAGCACTGTGAGACCAGGGAATGTGTGTGGCTGTATCCCCAGAGCCTAGCGCAGCCCCAGCTCAGAGGAGGGCTTTGGTAAATATTGCTGAATGAAAGAATGTCTGGAAAAAGACTGGTTAAGCAGAGTGAAGTGGGCTTATTTACCGTGGGACTTTTCAGAACCTTTACTAAGTGAACGCGCATATTAGAAGTGGGGCCTGGCAGGTGGGAGGCAAACTCATCAGCGGAGTAAGAAAGGCACTGTGCTTCTTCATGACAACTCAGACGTGGGGAAAAGCTGCTGGCAGGAATGGTATTGGCAGCTGAGCAAAATGAATTTACAAGTTTCCTTTTCGAAATGCAGGGGAGGAAGGATTTGCATCAAGAGATGGTAATAGTAACATTTCCATTGTTAGTAATTACAAACATGTACAATGTGTGCTATTTTTCTTTTATTGAAGGTGAGGAAGGGGGAAGATGAGGGTGTGGATTCTTCCTTCCCTGACCCTGCTTTCCCCATAAGGCCTTAAGTTCTTCAGCTGCCAGTTCAGCCTTGTGGGATGAATTGAGGAACCAAATCCTCTGGCTGCGTTTCAGATCCTGACATCCTTACTAGTGAAGATCCCATTTAATGACTGGAAGTAGGAAAGCTCTGAAGATGGATATGCAGATTCTAGGGGTCGGGAAAGGCTCTCTTCAGGGCCTGCGCAGTTACCCTGACTGGAGGGCGTGCAGGGGCTCAGCTTCCGCTCCCACCATTAGCTCCAGAGGCACTTTGGGAGTTGTCTTGGCTCCTTGAACAAAGGGGAGTTAATTACAGAAAATGCCAGGCTTTTTAAAGGCCATTTGTCACCTGGCTGTAGGGAGAGCAGCAGCCCTGGCAGAGCCCTGAGGAAGAACTCCTCATGGCAGGCCCCAGGCCCCTTGTAGATGAAATAATGAGCCTTGGTGGTGTCATCCCCAGGTAGGAGGCAAACCCCATGATGCAATTCTTTATTCAAAGAAACAATGCAGAGAATAGGACGGCCTTAGAGGAGCTGGGGTGAAGTGAATTTGGAATGCCTCTCTTAAAAAAAAAAAAATGGGGCAGAGTTTTGTGTTGTTTTCCAAAGTCAGACAAAGCCTAATTCTACAGAGTCTAGTTACCCATAGATGGGAGGGCTGGAAAGGAGAGTAAGATAAAGGCAGTGATGGAAGGTCTTAGATTCTAATTAAACCTCTTTTAGCTGTGTATTTGGAACGTTTGTAATTCAGAGCATCAATAGACTCTCGTTGACTAGACGCTTTTTTGCTGCCAATTTTCCTTCTTAAGATGGAAGGAGGTGGTGGGAGAATGGCATTTATGCCAGAATGCCTAGAGTCTGCATTTTAACAAGATCCCCAGGGGCATTCATGTCGGCATTAAAATTTAAGAAGGGCTGAGGTCCTGGACCAGCAATTCTCAGCCCCAGCTGCTCATTAGAGTCACGAACAGAGCTTTAAAAGAATGCGTAGGTACTGCCTCCAGAGATCTGTGTTGTCTTGGCTGGGGTATTCTCGGGGCGCGGGGTGTCACTGTGTTTCTTGAAAGTTTCCCAGGTGTCCAGCCAGGGCTGTGATCCACCACCCCAGACATAAAGCCAGACACCTTCAGATGTCGAGATTCGGAAGGCACATCATCCCGAAGCAAATGACACCACGCTTAGCTGGACACACCGCTCTTTAGGATTGATCAAAACCCCCCACGTCAGATAATGTGGATCCTCCTAGCTCATCCGCTGGCTTCCAGAGCCACAGCCAGAGATGATGGGATGTGGAGCACCCAGCCGGGGTTGCTCGTGTCCCGTTAGAATTCTCCCTCCTCCATGAATGGAAATGACCTTGAGACCGGGCCGTTGCTGAGTGGACATTTGCTTTTTGCACCTTTCATTGTGCTGCCGAAGAAATTGTTTCAAAATTTAAATCAGATCATGACATCACCACCCCTCTTTTCAGGTAAAACTCTCTTCAGGGGCTCCCATTGCTTGCAAGGAAAACACCGTAATAGCTCTGGAAGGCCCCATGTTGTCTGGCCTGCATCTGCCTCAGCCTGTGCCCGGAACTCCAGCCACATGGGCCTGCTTTTAGTTACTCAGAGGCCCCTTCCCTTGGCCTGGAACCCTGCCCTTCACCTTAGGTGACTGTGCTGGCCCCAACCACTCTGCCCAAGGCACATCCCCTTGTATTTTCTCCCCACAGCACCATGTGCCTCTCACACAATCAAGTACCACTCCTCAGATAGATTCTTTCTTCGTGTGGGCCTGTTAGACGACAGGCTCCATAAGGACAAGACCTGTGTGTATGTTTGGTTAGGGACTCAGGGTCATATCCTTGGCAGCTGTTTTACTGGATGAATGAATAAACTGGATACTGGATAATGAATAATGGCTTGAAGTCATTAGTTTTAGGCTATTTTGTCCTTAAACTTGTATGCACATACATACCTGTTCGTGTTTGAGCACTGGATTTTGTAAACTGTAGAGATACTGGACCTGAGGTATTTTGAGAGAGGACCGGGCTGTAGTCTTACTGGTTCTGATTGGCTCATGTGGGATGTGACTTGTAGAACAAGTCCCAGTTTTCTAAATTTTTAACTAGTCCGGGTGCAGTAGCTCACACCTATAATCCCAGCGCTTTGAGAGACCAAGGCAAGTGCATCACTTGAAGTCAGGAGTTCAAGACCAGCCTGGCCAACATGGTGAAACCCCATCTCTACTGAAAATACAAAAATTTGCCGAGCGTGGCATGACTGTAATCACAGCCACTCAGGAGGCTGAGGCAGGAGAATCGCTTGAACCCAGGATGTGGAGGATGCAGTGAGCCAAGATCGCCCCACTGCACCCCAGCCGGGGCAACAGAGAGACACCCGGCCTCAAAACAAAAAACAAAAAAAAACTTATTACAAATATTTTAAGTATGAATTGTATAAAGTACAAAAAGACCTCTTACTGTCCTCTCATGATTTTATTCTATGTATTATATATATGTATGTGTTTGTATATGTATGTAATCGTATCTCACACATACGTGATTTTCTTTTTTTTTTCTTGAGACGGAGTCTTGGTCTGTCGCCCAGGCTGGAGTGCAGTGGCCAGATCTCAGCTCACTGCAAGCTCCGCCTCCCGGGCTTACACCATTCTCCTGCCTCAGCCTCCTGAGTAGCTGGGACTACAGGCGCCTGCCACCTCGCCGGGCTAGTTTTTTGTATTTTTTTAGTAGAGACGGGGTTTCACTGTGTTAGCCAGGATGGTCTCGATCTCCTGACCTCGTGATCCGACCGTCTCGGCCTCCCCAAGTGCTGGGATTACAGGCTTGAGCCCCTGTGCCCGGCCACGTGATTTTTTTTAACAAGTGGGATCATACATTCCATCCTGCAACTTGTCTTTTTTGTTTACTGGTACATCTTGACACTTTAGATATGGATCTATGTCATTGGCTTGCCTTTCAGCATAGAGTTTTATTTAAAATGAAAACGTTTTTGGACTTTGGCATGATTTCCTAACCCCCCCAACCAATGTGTTTTAAGTAGTAAGTGTATTTGAATGCATATACATGCTGTGGCTTAGATCATTTTCTTTCCAAGTAATACTGAAGTCCTCATAGCATTTGGTTGTTTTCTAGTCTCGGTTAATGGATATGAAACATGGAACTGCTCTGTGGAGACTGGAGAAATATTTTGAGGTTGAAAGGGGGCCTCATTCTTGGAAAAGCCCGGAGACCCTCAGGGAGAGGGTTGGGCAGGCTGCCTCCTGAAGTACCTTTCCACGTTCCTGAATTCTAGCAAGTTGCTCAGTTGACACAGTCATTTAGCAAATAGTGATTGTTGGCTCGTGGTATGCCAGGCACTGCTGTCCGGACCAACATGAGCTCACGTTTTGCAAGGAGAGCAAATGGCACACAGCGAGAGCATGTGGGCTGTGCTAGGTGCAGTGGAGGAAGTGGAGCCAGGTCAGGCGGCGCAGAGCAGTGCTGGGGGTGCCACCTGGGTGGTGATGAGGCACAGCTGACTCTTCCTCTGCTGCCCACGGGAAAGGGAGCAGGCCCTGCTCACCCCGAGTGTACAAGAAGCCCAGTGACTGAGAGCGGCTCCTCAAAGAGCTCCCTCCTGGACTCCACAGTGACTGCCCACAGGCTCTGTGGCCTGCAAGGGGCCCTACAGCCCGATATGGGAATGCTGGCAGGCAGATGTGCTTGAAATGCTGATAGGGGTCTGGGGTGTAATGCTCTTCTCAAGAGAGTGGCTTTGGCAGGGCTAGGGTTTTGCTCCTGAAGCTTTGCAAATCCACAGCCCCCACTGGAGTCTCCACATGTCCTGGCACCATCCCGGGGACAAGAAGCAGGGAATAAGCAGGGGAAGGAGGTGGGAACCCTGCAGTCCACCCTTCTCCTGTCCTAATGGAGTGGCCAGGGAAGGGGAGACTCTCTGTATATCTTAGTTTGGTAAGAGTTTGCAGAAGTCAAGTTAAAAATGGATTTTTTGAAAATGAAATACCCATCTGAAGGAACACATTGGATGGTACGTTGTAAGTTGCATGATTGTTGAGAAGGTGTTCTGACTAATGCGTATGCAGGTAGCTGTTTATTCTCGTGGATGAAAAATGGGAGCCCGAAGAGCGCTTCGGTGACACACCCACAGCCACCTAGCTAGGGAGAGGGTGAGTGCAGACCAGTCCCTGACCCCCAGTCCGGGTGAAAGAAGCTAAGAGCTCCTGACTTTAAATGAAAATCCAGTACTTAGGAAGGCAAACATGGCTTCAGGATAGCGCGCCTTTCCGTTTTCGGCTCGCGCAGGTGGCGACGTCCTATCCCTGGGCCAGCCGGCTTCCTGGACAGCAGCAGAGGGGCTCTTCGTTTCCAGGTGAGGCTTCATCATCTTCCCGCTTTACCTGCAGACATGAGCTCAGTGGGCGAAATCGTATTAGATCCCCTCAGAAGACTAGTTCCCATTGGAAAGATTTGATTCTTAAACTATAAAAACCTCCCAAGTGCTGCCCCAAGGCAGGGCAAGGGTGCTTGGGGGTTGGAAGCCCGGAGGCAATGAGCAGGGCAGGCAGTGGAGTTGCCGGGTCCTCCCACCACGTGCTCTGCAGTCAGGCATCATGTGCAGGACGGAGGCAGTGCCTCTTATCACTCTTCCCTCTTTCATAGCCCTGAGCCTAGGAGAGGGTGGGATGTAAGTCCCAGGATACTCAGAGCCAGGACCTCTCTGTTCAGAATTGCATGCAACCTGCTTGGTACATCCTGTTCTTTTTACTCCCTCCCGAACCCACTCTGGTGCCTCTGCTGCCCGGTTAGAAACAGTCTGCAGCTGGCATTTTTCAGGGGGGTGCTCTCACTGTGACCGATGAGGATGGATCCCCCTGAGTGCACTGTCTTACAGGGATGAGCTCAGTGGACTCGGTACTGCTGGGCCCTGCATCCTCTGGCCACGGTCTAAGCCTCAGTTTCTAGAAGGGAAGTTGCTGGAATAAGAGTATGTTTTGTTTTTTCTGTCTCCCTGGGGCAGACCATACTGTGGCATTAATTTCTGGCAACCACACTGAGAAGGTTGTAGATTAAGCAGGAAAATCATGAAGAGTGCCAAGGGATTGGTCAGTTTTTACTGGGGGTCTGCACCAGGCCAGGTGGGTGCTGGTTTTTTGTCTTCATTGTCTCATTTAATCCTCATGGCCACTCTGGGAGGAGGAGGGCCTTCTATTAGAGATGGGACGTTGAGGCTTAGAGAGGTTGAGTGACTTACGGAGTCACAGAGCTCACACGTGTGAGCAGGGATTTGAACCAAGTCTGGGGCTCTTCACTTTGTGCCTCACCGCCTCTGACAAAGAGTGGTGGAAGGAGGAGGGGATTATGGGATGGAGACAGGAGACAGGACAGCTGGCTTCCAAGGAATTTGGCATGTCCCCTGCTGGGTGGTGTTGCTGGTAAACTACAGTATGCTCGGTTAAATCCGAAGTTCAGAAAACAACACATTTATGTTTGTTTTTTTTTTTTTTTTTAGTATAAGTATATGCAATACTTAGGACTTTATACTAGAAAAAACCCTGAAATTAAACCTAACTGGGTATCCTGTGTTTTCATTTGTTCAACCCGACTTGGGGAACCCTGGAAGGATGCTGGGCCTAATATCTGGGCAGAAAAAATACTGGTTTGGGAGCGGGGGGGTATAAGTGTGTCTCATGCAATATTTAGGTTATACTTACACTAAAATTTTATGTTGTTTATCTGAAATTTAATCTTAACTTGTGGGGTGTGTCCTGTATTTTTATTTGTCTAATCAGGCAACCCTATTGGTGATCCCAGGAGACACCCGAAGCCTTATACACGGGCACCTGAGTGTGGCTCATGAGCCATTCGGAGAAAACCCAGGCAGCTTGGCAGGTGGTGAGCTCCCCACTGCAGGCTGTATTCAGGTGTGGCCGGATAAACACGTGGTGGGTGTGTCACAGAACGTATTTGCATTCCAGATGCCTGGTTCCAGTGAAATTCTAGGATGTAAATGTTGAGACCAGGAGGAGAGTGATTTACCTGGGTCTTCCTGGAGCTCTGAGCCACGCAGGGTTGGGAAGCTCTCTCTGAAATTACTTGCCGTCAGCACCGTGTTGAGGGGACCGCTTCTCCCTGCCATGCAGAAGTGATGGATGGCCTCAGTCCGTTGGTGGAAGCCAGCTCAGCCCAGGGTCATATCTGTACGTGGAGAGCTTTGGCTTGAAGAAGCACTGCGTTAAAGGTGAAATGAAACACACTTTCTTGTGTCACCTGCCAAGAACTGACAGTGACTTCCCAGTTCTTTATGTGCCTCCTGCAGCAGAGTGTGGCTTCTGTGCCAGGCTGAGGACCGACATGCCCCGTGTTGCTCCCTGGCTGTGATAGCATGAAAAACACCCACCTCAGTGTTCTACCCAGTCCGTTGCTGGCGAGTGGGCAGAGGCGAGAAGCATCAGTGTTCATTCGTTTGCTTTTTTAGAGCTTCTCTAGGTGTGGCTACATCTTGTCAACCAGTCAGAATTTTAAACACAGCCAGCTCATAATTGCCCCAGCATGGCTTCTGCCCACTGTGAACGACCCTCAGCTACGGCCTAGTCCTTGGCAGGCCTCTTCCTGCCACCTGCTTCCAGGCCGTCGTGGGAGCTCACTGGGACCTTAGCCTGGGCCCAGCAGGAGTCAGGGAGCAAATGTGCAAAGGAGTCTTATTCTGTGTTCCAAAAACACACAGAGGTGGTCTTCTCTCTTTATCCTGTCTCTCCATTAGGGTGTTCTAAATTTGATTTTATTATTGAATCCATCATTTATATCATTAATTCAATGTGGAATGTTAAGTTAAATGCCAAGTGAAGCTACCTTATTGTAGCAGTGGGAAAAAACGGAAATATTTGTGCTGACACTTACTGACGGAAATCACCTGCCGTCTTCACTCCTCTTTGTTGACTTGATGTATTTGTAAGCAGCAGGGGCGTCTTGCTTGTGTTTTCCAGGAAGAGTCAGTGAATGGCTGCAGTGTGACAACATGCACCACCAGTGGCTGCTGCTGGCCGCGTGCTTTTGGGTGATCTTCATGTTCATGGTGGCTAGCAAGTTCATCACGTTGACCTTTAAAGACCCAGATGGTAGGTATGCCTCGTGGCGGAATGAATTTTGGCTAATTCAGACCTTGCTGCAACACTGTTCCTAGGTACATGCACAGATGATGTCTGTCACAGAGTCAGAGGACTCTCATGCCAGCAGGGACCTTGGAGGTCATGGCCTCCGTTCCGTCATGTTACAGAGGTGCGAGGGGAGGTGAGAGGGAGGGGCTGGAGGGTCTTTTCAAGCATCTCCTCTGGAGGAAGGAAGGTGCTCTCTGTGGCTGAGGCCTGGGTGGTGCCTGAGGAGCAAGGAGCAGGGCCTCCTCCCAGCAGCGCAGTGGCCATATGCCTTGCAGCCGGGTGCCTCTCAGGCTCGCAGTTAGAAATTCTCTCTGCCTCTTGTCATCATGAGAGGTGCAGCCTCAACTGCTCGGCATGGCCACATGTGTGAAGGTCACCCTCCGTGCAGTGGAGGGGGGTCATTTAAATGTATGTCTTCAGGTTGTCTTGGAGGCTTTTTTAGCTCTACTGAACATAGGTATTCAGATGAGGACGGATACAGAGCGCCAAGCTGGGTCTCAGAATTGCTGATTCTACTTCGTGCTCTTGTCATCGGCTTGTCTGCATCACAATGTTTCTCCTGCCACATGGACACCCTGCCTGCTCCGGCACCGCCCGTGATTGCCCTGAGCAGGGTGAGGCGCTCTGTGGTCTGTGGAGTGCTGGATATGTCCAAAGAGGTGTGTGAGGTGCTTTCCAGCCCCGAGGCCACTTCATTCAGTGGCCAAGCAGGCGAACACGAGGAGGCCAGACACATGTAGTCATTGAAATCCTCATTCACGCCGTGGATTGGCCCATTCCTTCAGGCTGATGGGGAGATACTGGGGAACGTAGGTGAGCACAGCATCTTTCCTCTGCACTGCGCTTTGTGTGTCCTCCTGCCGATAGTGGCCTTGGGAAGGGGCAGCTAGGGATGCCTCCGTGCCAGCAGTCTTTCCTGGAGGCTGCACTGACCTGTGTTGTCTGTGTGACTGTGGGGAACGGCCCCTGCTCCACCCCACAGAGCTCCCAGGCACGTCCCTGGCTGTGTCAAGGGCTGCCCCATGTCCTACACCTCCTGCCCCATCCTCTCTCTGCCCCACCCTGTCTGCAGAGGGACAGCAAGGTCAGAAGGGAGGTCTGCAGGGAAAAGAGGGACACCCTGAAATTAGCCCGCATGGTGGTTCTCCCCGTGACAGTTGTTGGGTCCTGATTGGCTGTCATTGCATGTCCCACCTCATCCCCCAGGAGCCCTCGAGAGAAACCTGTGAGGTGTGCACAGCCTCGGGAGGTGGTATTACACCTACAAGTATCTGGGCAGGTGTCACGGAGCATGACAGCTCACACCCAGGACTCGGGGTTCCGTCAGCAGAGCCAGGGTCGATGCTTGGAATGTTGCTGGAATGTGAGACGATGATCTCAGTTTGACAGTTTGGACATTTTCCGTGGCAGCTTCAGCCCAGTGACATGCCACTGAGAGATCCCTCCTGAAGCCCTAGTGCCGTGGTTCTCATCCCCGCAGCACTTCAGAGTCACCTGTGGGATTTTACAAACCTGCTGTGCGTGAGACCCAGTGGAGGAGAACCCCAGGGGTGCGGCCAGTTGAGAAGCACAAGTGGAGATGCTAGCTGGAGCACGGAAGAGAAGCAGAGCTCTGAGAATAAGAAACAGGTGTTACTCGGGATGCTCCTAAATGTCGCCTCCTGGTGTGGAAGGCACTCAAAAGCCAGGTCATGAGGTTAAATTGTTTATGGTTTATTTTGCTTAAAAAAGTAGGAGTAGATGTGATACATTTTAGTGAGACTTCTATCGGTAATAGTGAAATAAGACATGTGCCTTTGTGTGTTACTGTTACCTGGCAGAATGGCCTCTAAAGAATGCGGTGCTTCCCAGCGGCGTCTGGTAGGTGAGGTCTCATTCTCCCTTGATGTATCGAGTTTCGTGCTGATTGTTTTCAGTGTAGACACTGATCCTGGAAGGTAAGCAGGGGTGGGCCCAGTTAGAAAAAAAGCAAGTGTAGGCGTGGAGCAGGGTTTTGTGAAGAGGAGAAAAGGAGTGGTAGGGAGTGTTAGAAGATAAAACCTATGAAGAAAGATGAAGGGCTTTCGGATTTTATACCTGGAGAGGGACACCGCAGCCAGCGGTCCTTAATCCTGCCCATGAGATCCTTCCAGCCGGCTGCCTGAAGGCGAGTGGAAGGGGGCGTTTCCCCTGCCCTGTGAGATCTGGTGTTGTGGCGTGTGGGTGCTGGGTCACTGAGATGGGAGAGCTGCCCCGGACCCCGAGGCAGGGGGTGCTGGTGCTGAGGATGCTGTTGGCCGCATAGTGTCCAGTGAACTCAGCGAGAATCCTCTGTCGTGGGCTCACTCCAGTTGCGGGGTGGCCGCCACGGCACTACCCAGCCTGCTTCACTCACGTGGGATGTTACCTAATTGTCCCAAAGTACCTGGTTAGGATCTTGAAGGTGGATGTCCGCCGGCCGAGTTCTGGATGCAGGATGCCAGCTGACACGCAGCATCTTGCCAGTGCACAACGACGCTGGGCTGAAGCATCAAGAGCATTTACACTTAGAGCCTGCCCTACAGGCGTCAGAGAGGCCCTGGGCTGGGGTGGTGTAGGCCTCTCCCCTGGAGCCCGCCCCTCCAGCACTGTGTTTAGAGAGTGTGCCCCGGAGCCTGGATCTTGGGCAGCACAGGAAACCCAAAGGGTTGTGTAACCCAAACCCAAACCCAAAGGGTTTGTAAACTTGTGGCCATAAAGGGTTTTTCACGTGTTGGAGTTTATTTCACACACGTTCACGGTGTTTTTGGTTATGAACCGGAAGCCCATTGTGAAGTGTCACGACGAGGAAATAACAGACGCAGCAGTGTCCTCAGCGGGGAGTTCCATTTCCTGGAAAGTGCGTGGAGAAGCCTTGGCCTCAGTGCTCCCGGGCTGCCCTGTCCTCTGGGACAGGGCCGGCCTCAGAACCCCGGTCAGTGGTGTGCGTGTTCTTCTCACCTACCTGCCTTTCCCGGTTTCTCCTGCCACCGGAGCCCCTGGGAGGAGCATGGCTGTCTTGAGTTGCTGTTTAAAGCAACACTTTTTTTAGTGTTACAGTTTCTGTTCAGCTCAGCAGTGGAGCCAGTGATATTTGTGGCAATGATTTATCCTCAGTTAGCAAATTTCAGTATCGTATTGAACTAGGATCAGGTGTTGTAACTAGATTTTCTCGTAGGAATATAAATCCCCCTCAGTGAAGGGAATGTGATGGAATCATATGGCGAGACTCAAAATGACGCCCTTGTGGACCTGGTTTGTGTGTGTAGGCGCCGGCTTTTCCTCTCTCCTGGTTGACCTCCTCATCCGTTCTGAGCCTCTGGAGGGCAGAGCCTGTGATGTGAAGGTCTCTGCAGCCTTGACCATCTTTGCGTGTGTTTATTTGCCGTCTGTGGATACTCCCCAGTGAGATGTCTGGGTGTGTCGTACCTGTTTTCTAATTGGATTGGTTGCTTTTTTAATTGTTGAGTTTTGAGGGTTCTTTATATATTTTAGATAGGAGTCCTTGGTCAGGTAAGTAGTTTGTAAATATTTTTTCCCTGTCTGGAGCTTGTCTTTTCCTCCTCTTCAAATGGGCTTTCACAGTGCAGATTTTCTCCTTGGTTGTTTTTTTAAAAAGATTGTTGGTTTCGTGTTTCACATTCTGGTCTGTGATCCACTTTGAGTTCACTGTTGAATAAGGGGTGAGGTTTGGATCGAGGTTTGTTCCATGTATGGATGTCCAGGTGCTCCAGCACCATTTGTTGAACAGACCGCCCTCCTCCGCCGAATGGCTTTTGGGGCTTTGTCAAAAGGCATTCCAGCGTCTTTGAGAGCTTCTATTTCTGGGGCCTCTGTTCTGTGCCATCCACCTGTGCACCTTTTCCTTTTAGAGAAGACATTCAACTTCTCTGTCTTCCAGTGTACAGTGCCAGACAGGAGTTTCTGTTCCTGACAACCATGCCGGAAGTGAGGAAGTTGCCAGAAGAGAAGCACATTCCTGAGGAACTGAAGGTGGGCACAGCCAGGCCGTGGTCCTTGTCCCCTCGAACACGGCACGGGGAGCTGGCCTTCCCCTGTGGCCGGTTCCGCTTGTCATCACATCTGCGTTAGAGCCTTTTCCTGTGTTACTTCTCCATGTTTAGTTCACTGTGTTAATTTCCATTTGGGGGAGGCAGAGGCCGGGTCTATTTTTGTGCTCCTCACAGAGCTCGGTGCATCAGGGCTGCTCTGTCACTGTTGGTTGGGTGGCATTCCTGACCAGGTGAACATGAGCCTCGCCCGGGTAGCCGAGAGTATTGGGCAGGGTCAGGAGGAAACCCGTAGTGGGAGAAGACGTCTCACCAAGTCATGGGATTTTAGATCAAAAGGGGGCCCTGGACAGTAGAGCAACTAATTCAGCCTCCAAATTCTGTGGATGAGAGAACTGAGCCTAGGAAAAAGGCAGATCCTCCACAGTCCCATGGAGTTCCTGGCGGAGCTCAGGCCTGCTCACTTCCACCTAGACCTTGCCTGGCTTGACATTCTGGCTCTGCGTCTTTCTCTGCAGGCTTCTTGTGTACCTAAATTCCTAATCATTCCCTAGCTGGGATGAGGGGTGCACTCTGGAAGGCCTCTCACTTCCTAACCCCCATTCTGGAGCTAGAGGGTCGAAGTTGCAATTGTGCCAGAAGGGATGAAATGGGTACAGCAAGCCCTGAAAATACTTTTAAGCCCAGAATCAAGCCATAGAGATGGGGACAGCTCCTAGCCATGGTTCACAGTGTAAGGACGATAAATTAGAACTCAGTAAACATAGAACACGCACACCAGTCAGAGTAGAGTGCTGCTGGAGGTTACTTCTCGTACGACATTGAGGGAATGGAAGTCAAGTCTGCAGAACTCTGAGACAGCCTAGGTGTTGCTTTTAGGTTGAGGCATCCCAGGGTAAGAAAATAATTTGGATGGGCTACAGAAACAAGACCAGAAAATCCTGTGGAAAATAGGAGAGTGACTTTAATAGGATGGATTTAAAAGGAAATCAGTTACAGGGGTGAAAACAAATGCAGGGTAAGCCTTCGGCAAAGTGTCACAACAAGGTTCCCTCGAGGATGCCACATCCTGTGAGGAAGAGGGCGGTCATCTTGGTGCTCCCTCTCCCTCTCTCCGGGTGGAGGGTGCTCCCGGAGAGATTGCCAGCCTGCAGGAGTCGTTGCAAATAAAAAGACTGCGCCTGAATGTGCTTTACAGTTTGCAGTGTACTTTACTGGGTTTCAATCTCATTGGTCTTCTGAGCCGCCCTCTGAGGTATATTTTTATTCTCAGTTTGCATTTGGGAAACATGAGGCTTAAGGAACTGTGCTCACTGGGTCAGTATCCCCTGGACAGCCAGTTGTGAGCCTGGGCTTTGAACTCAGTTTCCTCTGTGCCCTTCTCTTACCCCCTGCCGCATTCATTCTCATGAGACTCAGATGGGAGGTGAGGGAAGTGGGGGATGTCAGGGGTGATGTCCGCTGAGGCCACATGTCCTTGGGTGACACCAAAACTCAACATGTGTCTTCTCACAAGGAAGGGGATTTATCAACGTGACCAGGTTCCGTAGCTTGCCTTTAAAAGTTTTTTTTTGGCCGGGCGCAGTGGCTCACTCCTGTGATCCCAGCACTTTGGGGGACCGAGGCGGGCAGATCACCTGAGGTCAGGGGTTCGAGACCAGCCTGGCTAACATGGTGAAACCCCATTTCTACTAAAAATACAAAAAATTAGCCAGGTGTGGTGCCATGCGCCTGTAATCCCAGCTACTTGGGAGGCTGAGGTAGGAGAATCACTTGAACCCAGGAAGTGGAGGTTGCAGTGAGCTGAGATCGTGCCATTGCACTCCCGCTTGGGCAACAAGAGCAAAACTTGGTCTCAAAAAAAAAAAAACCTTTATTTTGTGCATGATGTAGCCAAATGTTTGAATGGAAAATAGAAAAGAATATCTATCTTTAAATTGGTTTTGTATATTTCCAAAAGGAAAAAAGAAAACAGTGCTCATTCATAGACACAGTTGAACAGGAAATCTTTTTTCTTTAGCTGGGCATGGTGGCTTATGACGCCTGTAATCCCAGCACTTTGGGAGGCTAAGGCAGGAGAATCGATTGAGCCCAGGAGTTCGAGACCAGCCTGGGCAATATACTAAGCCCTCATCTCTACAGAAAATACAAAAATTAGGTGGTTATGGTGGTGTGTGTCTATAACCCCAGCTACTTGGGAGGCTGAGGTGGGAGAATCACTTGAGCCCAGGAGTTGGAGGCTATAGTGAGCCATGATTGTGCCACTGCACTCCAGCCTGGGTGACAGAACGAGACCTCGTCCCTTAAGAGAAGAATTTTTGTCTTTGTCTTTAATGTTTTGCTCAAAGAAAAGCAATATCTAATATCTTTTTTCTTGTTGTTCAAAGGAAGGCAATATTTAAAAGTGCAGAGTTTTCTCCATTTTCTAAAGGGAACTTGCTGGGACGTGCTCTCCCCTGACGTGCTGCTCTTGAGTGCCATCCATGATCGGGGTTAGGTTTGGAACAGAGGGAGGAGAAGACAGAGGCTTTTTTGGGATAAGTGAGCAAGAGGCGGGATGGATGAGGAAGTGAGGTTAAATGAGACCTGTTCTTCTAAGAGCAAGGAGAGTGCCTGGCGTGGCTCCTGATTTTCTGTGGCGGGCGGAGGGCCCCGGGCAGCCGCTGATGCCCTGTGGGGAGGAACGGAGGCCACTCTGCAAAGGGGCCTCTCGCTTTCAGTGTCTTCATCTTGGAAAGCAGGCAGTCAGGAGCCCCCAGGACGCCCTTCCCACCACCAGGGAGTCCCAGGAAATTCACTTAAACACACGAGGGAGAAAGCATCCTGGCCAGAGGTCATGAGTGTAAGGGAGTTTGGTTACAGTAGATCCACAAAGGAAGAGCTGGGTAGGGGGCATTGAGGGGCGTCCTCTGTCATCCTGATAGTTCCAGCGTCTGCATTCTAGTGTGTTCTAGGAGGCTTACATCTTTCCCATTTTCTAACTGACATTGTCCCCTGGGAGGACAGGTTGTTAAAACTACCCTATAAATGGATTTCCTGGCAAGCCTAGCGCATTTTAAAAGACATAACAAGGACATTTGGGTCCATTCAATACAATTATTTGGAAGGATCGCCTGCTTTGAAATCTTGGGAAGTTCTGTGTAGCTTTAAGAGATGATAGATGTAGCAGCAGAAGCCTTCAAAATGCTGAGAAACAGGGCCACAGCTAGAGGAGGCGGATGGAGTGGTGTTGGCGGAAGCAGCCCTGCTATTCAGGAGTGCCTCGGGATACCCCTGGGGAACAAGGAGGTGTGAGCAGCAAGGGGACTTCAACTCCCCGAGGACAGGGGGCCTCTGAGCAACTTCTGTGTGTACTGGTACATCTCCCTGTGCCCCCTCCAACCCACGCACACACGAGGCGTCTCACGTTATAGGTATTCTCTTAGGTTCTAAAACAGCCCTGAAAAGAAAGGACCAGCATGTAGAATTTGAGCTTTTTCATTTTCTTTCCCCCTAGCCAGAGGATTCCAAACCTTTTACTTTGGTTTTTAATTTTCTTTTTTTTTTTCCCCCCAAGATGGAGTCTTGCTCTGATGCCCACACTGGAGTGCAGTGGTGCGATCTCAGGCTCGCTGTAACCTCCACCTCGCAGGTTCAGGTGATTCTCCTGCTTGAGCCTCCCAGGTAGCTGGGATTACAGGCATGCACCACCACACCCAGCTAATTTTTGTATTTTTAGTAGAGATGGGGTTTCAGTATGTTGGTCAGGCTGGTCTTGAACTCCTGACCTTGGGATCTGCCCACCTTGGCCTCCCAAAGTGCTGGGATTACAGACATGAGCCACTGTGCCCGGCCTTATTTTGTTTCTTAAAGTCAAACTTATCTCCAAAGACGTCCGAGGAACCAAGCTCGCATGCATTTTCCTTGCCCAGCCTGCCGATCAGGCTGGTGGAGAGGCTCTGAGGAAGGCCTCGGGAGGGGGCTGGGGGTAGTGGGTGTCACTCTGTAGAAAGGCAAAGAAGGGAAGAAAAGAGGGCCCCAGATGGAAAGGAGGGGATAGGCCAGCAGGAGCAGCTCTGCTTGACCCGGTCCTGCCTCTTTTAATGGTCCCTGGGCCTCTTCTGCTCCGTGTCACCTGCAGCCAACTGGGAAGGAGCTTCCAGACAGCCGGCTCGTTCAACCCCTGGTCTACATGGAGCGCCTGGAACTCATCAGAAACGTCTGCAGGGATGACGCCCTGAAGAATCTCTCGCACACTCCCGTCTCCAAGTTTGTCCTGGACCGAATATTTGTCTGTGACAAGCACAGGATTCTTTTCTGCCAGACTCCCAAAGTGGGGAACACCCAGTGGAAGAAAGTACTGATTGTTCTGAACGGTGTGTGTGGGTTCGCGGAGTGTCCCTCTGGGAAGGGTCTCGGCGGCCGTGGCTGAGGAGGCTGGGGAGGACGGCCGGGAGGAGTCACACAGGGGCTGATTTCTCCTGAAAGGACTGGTGGCCTTCCAGTCAGGCCTGCTTTTGTGGTTTCCTGTTAGTGTTGTGCCTTAAAAGTTAGGGGGGCTCGTTTAGACACCGATTCTTTTCAAAGGGGCACGGCCACAGTCCGGCTCTCCTTACCTGTCACAGCGGATCCTCACTTTTGGTGGCTTGCCCACCCCCAGGCCCCCCTCCTTTGTCTCTTCAGGTTCCCTGCGCTGATGGTTATGGTCACCCACTGTGTCCCACGTCCCCAGAGCCCCACACTCGCTGAGCCGCCAGGTAGCCTCACGGTTACCCTCTCTGCAATGAGAAGGGCTCACACCATAGATCCTGGGAGGGGAGCCCTGGCCCGGGGCCTGGGGCCTCTTTACCTGCAGACCAAGCGTTCTTTGTCAGCGAGCAGGAAGAAATTGTGCCCCATTTCACACTAAGCATCTGCGTTCAGAGGATTGAGTCAGCTTGCTTCAGGAAACCTGATGTTTGCTAAGGAACAGATTAGATCATCACAAAGTGACCTCATACACGGCAGTTTTGATTACTCACTACTCTTTTTAGAGATGTTTATTTGTTTTAATTCCAATTAGTCTAAACCTATCCTCATAATTATGGGCTCTGCTTATGAAATTTAGCTTCAGACAGAAGTTAGTTCCTGTCAGCAGC